GGTTCATTTCCTTAAAAAAGAGAAAACATAAAACCATGTTGAAATCTATTTCAGTGCATTTCAGAGGATTTCTCAGATTTGATTTTTTTTTGATTTGTTTCACATTGAAATCATAGGATGTAAAGCATTGTTTCCCACTTTTTTGGTTTGTTTCAACATGTAAAAATCAAGAAAACTGACCAATTAATTTCAGCCACTTTAGCCACTTTGGGTCTTGAAAAGGTGAGCGAGACAATATTTTACTCCTCATTAAATTTATTTCTTATCCATTTCAGCCACTTCGGGTCTAAAATGAGTTTTCTATAAAATTTAACGTGACACCCTATTTCACAGCTCCATTTCCTTAATACCCTCAATGAACCAAATGCTGAAAATGAAAATGGGGTAAAATCAAAAACCGACGTGGAGCTCTTGTCAGGTCACAAAAGCTCCATTTCCTGTTTCCTTTAGCAAACAAACGACCCATTATTGTATTTAATGGCATGCATCTTGTGTATTCTGGGATTTTTGGTTGATTTTGGGAAGAAACAAAGGAGGTCGGAGATTATTCTAGCATAACGAAATCAATTTATCTCAATCTACATATTCTAAAATCCCAACACACCAAGTTTGGGGTGAACCCGTCATCGTTTGACCCTTCATCCACAAGTATCAATTTTAACGGTTTTGAATGAATAGAACTTTTCACATGGTTCACCGGAGGGTCAAACGATGATGAGTTCACCCCAAACTTGGTGTGTTGGGGTTTTAGAATATGTAGATTAAGTTTAAGGGAGCGGATCATCCATAATGTAGCTCAATCATGTGATTTTAGATCGCGTCCTTAGATGATTATCTAAGGCATCACCTTAGGAACACTTATATATATATATATATGGGTATGCTTAGTACCAAGCACAAATTTTGTGCTTGGTAGTGAGGTGGCACAATCCTCTTCACTCATTCAAATGGTGGACTACATTCACATGAGTTAAGGAGTGCATGGGGATATGCAACTATTTGAATAAGTGGAGGGGATTATGCCACCTCACTAACAAGCACTAATTTTTTTTGCTTGGTACCAAGCATATGCATTTTTCTCATATATATAATCCAAAAAAAAAAAAGGTTAATACACAATTTGCCTTTCCACCTCTTCTCCTGTCATTTTCTTTCCTCATCCGCTCCTCATCCTCTTCTTCTGGCTTCTGGAACCAGCACCCGAACTCGGCAACTACATTTACCCCAACGTCCATTTAAAACTTCCCCCCCAAAGAAGAGAAGTGCTAATAATAAGGTAATAAATATAATCATGGCTCTCCCTCTCGATTCCTTCTTTCCTTCCTTCTTCACTTCCGTCGCTCTTCAAATATCACCTAAAAATCAAATCAAGATCTTTTAGCAATGGCACAGCATCCTCCGTCGCCGGCGCGATCCTCTCTTCGACGAAGTCATCCTCCCTCGGCCTCTGCCCCTCGCGCCCGACGACGAGCTCTGCGACCTTCCCGGTCGTTTCTCCGGTGGCCTGTGCGTCGACCAGTCCAGCATCGTGGCGGGCCCTAACTCTCAGTGGTCGCTCTTCCTTCTTCTCGCGTGTCGGTTCGTCCCTCTCGTCTCCCACTTCGTCTTTGCTGTCTCCGACCATCGCCGGCCCTACGATGCGGGTTGCGCAGTCGTCGTTGGAACGGCGGCGGGGCGCGATTTCTGTTGTATGCCTGTCGGCGTTGATGAGGAGGTTCGGGCTGAGGAAGCTGTTGTTTCTTGACGAGGTTGTTGGGGAGAGCAAGAAGGTCAGGTTTGGGTACGTGCGGCAGCTGAATCGATCGTTTCGGATCCTTTCCTTCTTCGTGCTGCCTTGTTTCTTGGCCGAGTGCGGGTAAGTTTTGATTTTTTTGGAAGAAATTTGATTTGAATAGTTTTTACGCTTTTATTATTTTGTGCGGAAATTTTATAGTTTTTTTCATTTGTAATTTAATTTGCTCTCATTTCTCTTCCTTTTCCTTCCCTTACATGTTGTATTCTAAATCTAATCGAGCTTAGCTAATGCTTCGATCACAAGGATTTAATTAATTACTACGATATTATTTGTAGGGATATAATTATCTTAAAACTTCTGCATGTTAATCGTGAAAATTATCTTAAAACCTCTGCAGATGCAAGCCGAAACTTGGTTATCATAAAAAAAATATACTGTAAAGTTTCACATCTGATGTTATTAGAATGACCACAGATAATAGATTAAAAACTTTTAAATGGAATATTCTTCTTTTTACGGATCATATTAATTGAATCTCTAATGCTCTCGTATATATAGGTACAAAGTGTGGTGGTACTTAGCGGGAGCAAGAAGAATCCCCTTCTTGGGCAACGCCGTAGCAAGCGATGCAGTGGCGTGCGCATTGGAATTAGCGTCTTGGATATATCGAACCGCTATCTTCTTCCTAGTTTGTGTGCTCTTCTGGTTGATCTGCTTCCTTCAAATTCTGAGGCTTCAAGACTTCACCACAGTGTTTCAAGAGGAGTCAGATGTGGCCGCTGTGCTGCGTGAGCATTTGAAGATCAGGAGGCAGCTCATGGTAATCAGTCACAGATTCAGGAGGTTCATTGTTGCTGGCATGATTCTTGTTACTGCCAGCCAGTTCGCTGGCTTGCTGCTGACTACTCGGCCACACGGAGATGTCAATCTCTTCAACACTGGAGAGTTAGCGGTATGGTCTTTTTCGCATTTGTTTTCAAATTTTTTTGCGTTGTATTTTCGTCAAAGAGAAGCGCTCTCTATGGTATCTAAGTAGAAGCACACTTTGATTCGCTAGCCCTTGAAACTATATATTTAATGTGGACTGAATTTCTGCTGCCTTTCTTTTGACAATACTAAGCATTAGATTGGTAGGAATAAAGAAGAGTCTCCCTACACCAGTATAATCTTGTTGTCTCTGGATACTCTCTGTGTGTGTATGTGTGTGTGCGCGCGCGCGCGAATTATTCCCTTGATAAGCCGAGTTTCAGAATCATCCCAACTCTATTATAGATTAGTTTAACCCCTGCAGATGTACACATACATTTTCTTTGGGCAGAATGCAGTTTGTTATGCTTTCTGGAGCTAGAACTAAATAAAATTATGTTTCTGTTTTTGCAGCTGTGCTCTGTGATTCTCGTTACAGGCCTACTCATATGCTTAAGAAGCGCCACAAAGATTACACACCAGGCTCAGGCGATAACCAAGCACGCTGCAAAGTGGCACGTATGTGCTGCCATTGATTCCTTTAACCCTGACCCGGAGACCCCCTCTGAAAATGTTGCTACTTCCAGTGTCTTCCCTGAGAACGATGTTGACAATGAAGAAGAATCCATCGAAGATTTGGCTGGTGATGATGAATATGAGGCCATTAAGTTGGTAATGCCTCATGCCAATACGATTTCATTCCAAAAGAGACAAGCACTGGGTAAGACACTAAATTAATTCTCTTTACGGTAGAACTCATTAAGAAAAACCCCTGAACACCTACACTTTATAAATCACAGGAAACCCCTTGAACTTTCAAAATTATGCTAAACATCCCTTGACCAATTGGAAATTCACATAAACAACGTTAACGAGTAGTACAAAAGCTCCTAACTCCCTTTTCACTTTTTATCTATCATTATCTGAAATGGATAGGGGTTGTCCAAAATAGGGTTTTCCCTAGAAACCACCTTAAAAATAGGGTCATTTTACAGAAACCATTTGTCAAAATTTTCATTGAAAATCCAAAATACCGTTAAATAGCTCACATTCAAGACATGTGAGCCACTTTGTTAATGCTTTAGTTTAGTTAGGGTACAAGTCACGCACTTTGAACGTGCATGTGTTGAGGTTATTTTTGATTTTTTAGTGAAGATCTGACTAGGAGGTGATTGATTGGAATAATAACACATTTTAAAGGTGATTTACATATAAATTTAAAAATGAAAGGTGGTTTCTGTAAAATGACCCTATTTTTAAGGTGATTTCCGAGAAAAAAAAACCTCCAAAATACTTAAAAATACCTATTTTTAAGTTTTATGAACATGCTAAGTTTTTTTTAGTGTGGTTTTGAATGTTTTTCCTTGGTTCATAAATGCAGTGACATACTTGGAGAACAATGCAGCAGGGATCACTTTGTTTGGATTTGTGCTGGACAGAAGTTACCTCCACATGGTTTTCATGATAGAACTTCCTTTATTTCTATGGCTTTTGGGGAAAACAATTGGAATCTCGTAAATGCTATTCTTCGTTTGAATTTTCTCTTCTCCTCATTCTATTCGATTTTTTCTGGTATATAAATGTGCATTATGAAAATCAAAAGGTATGTATATATCCCTTTTCGTTTATTTTCCTCTTTGTTTTAATTTTGAGGTCTGAGCAGAGCGGATGTGATTTTGCAAGAGTGGCGATGTCTTTTTTGTGCGTAGAACATGTTTTATAGTGGTTTTCCCTTTCTATTGTGATCGATCGACAATGAAGCATTATGGAATTTATGAATAACTTAGTTATTGATTGTTTGATGATGAGAAATGAGTAGTTTCATGTTGTTGCCCGTCTTAATGGTGATATTGCTTGGTCCAATCTTGTGAAGTTAGCCAAATCATTAATTTGAAAATGTTCTCTGTTTTGTTGAAACTCCGCCAGCTACCTGTGAATTATTGAAGCATGCATGAAAGGTATTTATGGCTTTGTAGGTACTTATGGCAGCACCTAAAAAAGTGAGGCTTTGATTTTATTCCAAGTACACTTGCATGTGGTACTCCTCTGTTAGCTCTGAAGTGTCGGTTGCAAAAAGATTGACATATCTCTACTTAACCTGGCAAGTTGCTCAACAATCAATATTGAGCTTCACTTGCAATTACTCAACTGAGAAGACAAACTAACAACAAGATTATCAGCCAGAAACCGCTTAAATTATGGCTTTTGCCATGCTAAACTTGTTGGGGATGCACAACCCCCCTGATGCGATTTGGAAATAGAGATTTAGGAGAGAAGAGAGAAAAACAACCAATCTCAAACACACAAGATTTACGGTTTAACCAATAAAAAAGGAAACAGAACAAAACAGGTTAAAATTCGAAACTGGGCCAAAACCCGACTCTGATCGACCGCCGCACCACGTGCGGTCGACCGCAACGAATCCTATTCCTGATCGAGCTCTCTGGACTTTGGGCGGTCGACCGCAGCGCCATGTGCGGTCGACCGCGAAGCTGACTGCAGACTGGGCTTGTTCTCTGGACTTTTGCCGGTCGACCGCAGCGCCATGCTCGGTCGACCGCGATGAGCTCCTGGCCTGTGCACCCAGCTGTGCACGACGTCGGTCGACCGCCGCGCCATGGCCGGTCGACCGCGATGCAGAAAACTGTCTCCTTCGTCGTTTTGCTTGAACTTCTCCATCGTCGATCCTGTTCCTCCTGTTCCAACTTTGTTCCTCCTCTCTTCTGAAGTATAGGGCATGCTTGATAGTTAGGCTTCACATATCCTAACAATCTCCCACTTGGAGACTAACTATTAATCTCTTTCAGCTCTCTCTGCGGCGACAGCCTCCATTTCATCAAGTGCTGAGGCCAACTGAAGTTGAACACAACTTCAGTTTCTCTGTAGTGACAAC